CGTATTAGGAACACTTTTTAGCTAGACTGTTCGTATTGCGAACATGATCCCTAATACGAACAAATCGACTTCTCCAATTTATACCGCTAATTACTGAGTTAATTAATAAGATAATTAGCTGGTTCTTACATCATTCGATGCGCAAGATGCGTCTCTACTCAGAAATGCAAAAATATTTTTTTTATGTTGAGAAATGACTGAGAAATATTCAAAATAACAGAAGGTGTTCACCCTCCTGTTCGAATTAGGCACATCGCCTCTAGGTGTTAACATTTATCAATATGGTTCAGCAGCACCTGTTTGTAATACTGCTCCAGGCATGTATAGCATAAGCTGGGGAATATGAATTTGCGTCAAAATCATTTTTAAAATAAAAAATAATTTGTAATAAATTAGAAAATACATATAACCTATCTTACTTATGATATTTATAGCAATATTGATGGTATAGCGGTGTTAGCGGTGTTAGCGGTATTGGTGGTGTTAGCGTGTGTTAGCGGTCTTTGCGGTCTTAGCGGTATGACAAACTCATATAACTTCATCCTATATATTATCATGATCTATCCTAATACCGCTAACACCACTATACCTCTAATACCGCTAACACCGCTATACCGCTAATACCGCTAATACCACTAACACCGCTATATCGCTATGACAAATTCATATACCTCCATCCTATTATATTATCATCATGTATCGCTATACCACCAATACTGCTGTCACCACTAATATCGGCATGACATATTCATTCACCTCCATCCTATTATATCATCGTCATATATTCTACTACAGGTATGACAAATTTCTATATTTTGAATCATTTTTAGAGACTCTAGTCCACTTCTGAATTACGGCACTGTTGTTGTATGGTTTTATTATGTTAGATCGGTGAAACTTATGAGTGTGGTGAAACCTTGAGAGTATCTCAATACTTATGAACATTGATTAGATTTTTACTGTTCGTAAAACTATTTAGTTTTTTTTCGTGACGCTACACTGTCTTACAAGTAAGTCATTTACTTAGTGATTTAAATGATCAATGCTCGTATAGTTAGTATATTTTGTGAATTTGCCGCAAAATCAAATTCCCCATTAACTCATGTATAGTTATCTTATTTCTATTAGTTCTATTGTGCTTAATACTTGTATTCCACTACTTCTGATGGCTATATTTGCCATCCAAACACTGAAAGATCTTCATCAAAGACGTGTTAAACCAACAAATACTCGTGTCACTACAATGAATAATCAGCAATCTAAAGATCGTCAATTTACTATTTTAGTTCTCGCTGAAGTAGCTGCCTACGTTTTGTTCGTACCATGGTCGAGTGGTTTTGGCGTCTACCTACGAATGACTCAATCTATGTACAAAAGTGCTTCGCAGCAAGCATTGGAGCAATTCATAGTATCAATATTTAGTATACCTAACTATTTAACACCAGCTATCAGTTTCTATCAAAATTGCATTGTGTCGAAAGCGTTACATCAAAGAACAAAAGCACTATTCTTTGGTCAATGTCAGCGACATCCTACCGGCGGTAGCAGTCGAGATGTGAATGTTAAAATACCTGGCAATCAGCCGAATCAGCCGTAACGAGAAATATTCATTGATATTGTGTGATTGTTGTTCTATGCATTTGTCGTGGAATAAAATTATTTGTATATTAATTTCGGATGTTCCAAGTATCTAGAGCTTACTGTGAAATTTTGAGCGTGTTCTGCGATCAGTAAGATTATATGCCTGTAATTCAAAGGTTGATAATATGATATTTCTGTTATGGATTTTAGTGTCGTTTCACCTCTCATTCCATCACATTGACAACTGTTTCAATGCTGGTACTTTAAAAGTAAAGAGAAGACATTGTTACATATATTTTGAATGTAAAACTGTAAGCAATAGATAACGTAGTGAAATACGGTAGATTTGACGGTTATGCACATTTAGTTTCTACTTGTTATCAGTAGAAATTACTTATTTTTTGTGTAATGAAATGAGCCAATATCACGGATAATAGTCTGTGTCTTTTCAGAGTTATTATATTCGACCTAATGCAGATTCGCATGAATCAAATGATTTATTGATATTGAGAATCAGATAGCTTAGCATAATAGCCAGTGATTCCGTCCACTGTAAGAAGTAGCAAGCGAAATACAATTAATGGAGTGGGTGTAGATGAAGAAAAGAGTATTATTCACAGTCACATCTACATCCTCATCCTCACCCTCAGACCACGTACATCGAATTACTTCGAACTACTTCGAATTGTTTAGAGAAAGATCAAATTGAGGGAAAATTTCGATTAGATAAAAGTGTAAAAGTAAATGTGGAAATTCACACAATAAGAAAATATATGATAAAGAACAATCATGAAGGTACACACACGCAATAAAATACTTGTGGATTGTCACAGTAAATGTAACAGGCGAAGAGATGATACAGATATATATGATAAATGAGAACACATCAAAATATAAGTTTATCAGTATGAGAGAAGGTATGATGTATCGTCACAACTATCTCTACTGTTACTGCTGCTGGTGCTACTAGTGATGGCCCTGATTTTTGGGGCGCTGAGGTTGCTGTTGTTGCTGCTAAGATCTAGAGTTGAATCTACTTTCACAGTAATTGTTCCTATCAATCCACCAGTAATACCTGTCGCTTCGTCCACATATGCTAATGTAAGTAAGGAATCAACACCATCTTGTTGTGTATAGGCACGGTCAACACTATTCAACGTACGTGAAGCTTGATTGGTACTATAGGGTGTAACAGCTTGAACTAAGGTTGTATAGCTGTCATTGAAAAAGATCTGTCCGGTATGCGATGTCTGTCCACCCCAATAATAGATTGAACCACTACTGGTTTCTTCGCCACCAAAACGGACTTTAACATGGATATGAGTTGCACGTCCACTATAATATCCAGGATAATTGGTATAGAATGTCACTTGTCCATTTGTATTTGTTAATTGTATGCCTCGTAAGTATGTTGTGGTACTCACGACACTTGTTTCGAAGTGTGAGTAAACACCAACAGAATTACATTGCCATAAATCAACAGCAGCATTAACAATTGCAGAGCAATTATTCGTATCAATAACAGTCACTGTCAATGTAAGTTGTAACGACAAACTTTATTCAAGGTGATTCGACTGGCTTTATTTCAACCAAACATTTCCTTTTATATTCGTTCTCTCTGTTCTCTTTTCTTTTGAGCGCATCGGTCAAGAGAGAACAGGGA